ATGAGAGGAGGTGGGATGGCAGAGGAAGCAGTTGCTGCTGACAACCAGGATTAAAATTTACGAGAAGGGGGCTGGCCCCGTGGCCGAGTGGTTACGTTCGCGCGCCCCGCTGCAGGCGGCCCAGTGTTTCGTTGGTTCGAACCCTGGGTGCGGACATGGCACTGCTCATCAAACCACGCTGAGGCAGCGTCCCACATGCCACAAGTAGAAGGACCCACAACGAAGAATATACAACTATGTACCGGGGGGCTTTGGGGAGAAAAAGGAAAAAAATAAAATCTTAAAAAAAAAAAATTTACGAGAGGATGAGGATGGAGGTGAGAAGGAAGGATGTGAGAACCAGGGAGGGGCAGCGGGCTTTCCAGGTCAGGGCATGGAAACTTAGGAAGAGGAGATGTCAAGGGGAGGGGGTCTTGCTACGCTGGCCTAACAGGATTCTCGCTAAAAGCTGGCCAAGGGCTTAGGCATCAAAGGTGGGGGATGGGGAACTTGATCAGAGGTCGGGGTGGGGGCTTCTCTCCAAACTGACTTAGCAGGATTCTTGCTGAAAGCGGACTCTGCAAGGATGGACACGGAAGCTTAAGGTTGAGACTCAGAGGAGCCTAACTATGGTTTGGTCAGGCAGAGGCCTTCATCACCCTCACTTTCCGTGTCTGATAAATGGGGACCATGATGCCAGTGCAACCCAGCCACGGGGCTATTGTGAAATTGAGTCCGTGGAAGACAGCACATAAACCCGACGTCGCTGAACAGATGTGAGGGAGGGTATTGTTACAAGCTGTGCCTCCCGTGTGAGGTAGACCCTACAGCTCAGAAACACCTCAATGCACTTCTGTTCAAACAGCCCACTCTTCCTCCTTGCTGTCTACACCCCGTTTTATTCTAGCTACATCCTTGGCGCTGATTTAACTTGGTAGCAGCCAGCTGATGTGTGGGGGAAGAGTGAGCTGATGGTGAGGGGAGCATAGATGCAGGAATCGGTTCCAGAAAGAGTCTGTAGACGGCGAGCGGTATGTAAGGAGGCAGACGCAGTGCCCAGGCCATTTAAGCTGATCCTTGAGCAGAAAGGTTTTTCCTATGACTGTGACACGGTATTTGAAGGGAGACATTTGTCTCAATGACAGCTAGTTTTGAAGTAAAGGGGAAAAGAAGATTTATTGGAACGACAGCCTAATCTTTTGGGGGAAACCAAATTATATTCCCATTTTACCTCATAAGATAAATAGAAATAATAAGTGTAAGAACTTATATAACCATAAGGAAAATATAGGTGGGTGAATATTTCTGTAATCTTGAGGTAAGATTTGTGTCAAAGGGACAAAACAGGCTTAAAAGTTTGATTGGCAACAGAGCTGCCACTTACAAAAGAGATGCAAATGCTAGCTAGTAAAAAGAAAATGTCTGGGGCCGGCCTGGTGGCACAGCGGTTAAGTGCACATGTTCTGCTTCGGTGGCCCAGGGTTTGCCGGTTCAGATCCTGGGTGTGGACCTGGCACCGCTTGGCAAGCCATGCTGTGGTAGGCGTCCCACATATAAAGTAGAGGAAGATGGGCATGGATGTTAGCTCAGGGCCAGTCTTCCTCAGCAAAAAGAGGAGGATTGGCAGGAGTTAGCTCAGGGCTAATCTTCCTCAAAAAAACCAAAAAAAGTTTGCAGCATCTATTCCAAAGACTATATTCTTAAGGCATAAACAGCACTTGCAAAACTCTAAAAAAGATGAACACTGTAAAAGACAAATGGTCACAAAAGAAGACATTTCTAATGGCCAACAAACAAATGGAACAACTCCCCACCACTAATCAAAGAAATATAGGTAAAACCAAAAACTGAAAACACTTGTTCAAAAGATTTTTCTCAACAGTTTGGAACTATTACAATACAGTTACAATAACAGCATGATTTAACCTTGCATCTAAATTCTAAAATATTTTTAAAGAAGTGCCATCCCATAAATGTATGTAAATTAGAATAATTTCTTTAGAGATGCTAGGCTTCGGTGCACAGATAAAAATGATTCATAATTAGTACTTTCACACCAATAAGCATCTCTTCTGTTCTTACTTGTTCTCAAACTTAAGGGCTTGTTGACTCAAATAATCCATAATCAATCTATAAATCAAAATTGGGGTGAGTTTATTATATGAGCCAGGTCTGAGAACTCTAGGAAGCTCTCCGAAGAAGTGGGGTGCACAGAGCGGTTCTATACCATCGTGGAACAAAGAACATACATCACATATGACAGGAATATCTTTTTCTATTGTCATGAGATGCTTTGCTGGTGCAGATCAGTGATGGTGCACAGCAGGTCGGTGGTTAGCAGGTCAGTGGCCACAAGATGAGTTAACGCAGGTCAGTCATTAATCCTTAGTTTCTGGGAAGAAATGCTTCTCCTTAAAGAAATGCTGATATGGGGAAGGCAACATCCCTATCTTTACGGGCATCATTCTTGGCTGTGGGACCATGTGAGTGTTTAAAGCAGATGTATAATGTATGCTCAACGGGCCACGTCAGCCCCTTCTGGAAAAACAAGGTCAGGCCATATTAGTTTTAAACCAGATGGCTTCCTCGTATACTCCAATATATGCTATTGCTTGTCATTTGTTCATCCAGCCTTAAGGTAAAATGATTTATCGCATGATCTTCTCATAGGTCATGTAAACTTTGGCCTCGCATTCTTAAGAAAAACACACACACCCAAATTCTGAACTAAATGGATGGGTTGCTACTGTATTTGGAAACTTCCATTGATTCTGACCCGCCGCTGGGTGAGGCTGGGTGTGTCAGGAAGAGGTGTTCACGTAAGCAGGAGTGTGCACTGCTCCAGCACTGACGCTGTTATTGTGGGTTCCTCACCGGGCTTATGTAAACAGCTGTGTGTGTTGCCTGTGCACACACGTGTCTTAGGAGGAAAAAACCACTGGCGAGCAATGGCCTTGATACTTGATTTGAATTTCACCATTCAAGGGAAAGGGACGTCAAATGCTGGCTGGAAACTCGGCAGCTGGGCGCATAGGAACTCCTCACCCAGGACAGCCTTCAGCCAAAATAATAAGAGGGACAATGGAGGATCTCTCGTTAAAGATCAGCTTTCCCATGGAGCAAAAAGAATGCCAGGGCCCTGAGACAAAGACTCGCATCTTAATCATGAGTGTCATTCATAAAACCCCCTTTGTCTATTCAGAGGGATTTTAGTGCTTGGCCCTGTGGGCCAAAAAGAACAAGGAGGAATTTTTATCAAGTTACGCTTTCAATGAACTGAACCTTCTCTGAAAGAATTCAAACCAACTTCACTCAGTACTTGATTTTTTTTTCTAAGCAAGGGTGGCTTTTGTTTTTTAAAGTTAGAGGATGCCGTATAGTAAGTGATTTTGCTGAACAGCTCCAGAAAATATTTTTTAAATTGATGATCAGTTAACCGCGTTCAGTCCAGGAGAAGAAGGCAAAGCGATATTTCGCCTTGAGCTCGATAAATACATTCAGCATCTGCCTGCACCACAGAGTCATAAATCCTTGTGGGAGCCAATCGCGACCCCCACACCCACCCCAGCAAATGGCCAGCAGGGGAGGCAATCTATTTGCATGCACTGAGGCACTCGGTTGTTGCTAACTGGTGAAAGCTTTTTCCCCTCAGATGAAAAATAAATGCATATTCTTAGGAGGCTCCTCAGAGCCTTTGATTGGCAGTTTCAGATTAGGACTCTAGATGCCAAGAGAGACAGCTCACGGAACAAGTGAATTCACTTGAGAGGTTTTCTCCCTCTGCATCAGCCAAGAAGTTGTGATCAAATATTTACTAGCTGTGTCTTTGGCATGGCTGTCAAAGCATAGAGAGAAATAATATATCCTACGGCGAGAACGGGGCTGCTGACTTGAGCTCTGCCTCGATACAAACATCTGCTCTTTAATTACACCGGGCAGTCTCCGGGCGCCCCTCCCTCTTGCTCCCCGGATGCGCGTGCTTGCTTATTTTGCAAGTGTAGTCAGTCAGTCATGGGATTTCCAGAGCCACTCTGAGCCTGGGGAGGGAGGCCGTGGCCAGTGAGTCAGAGCTTTAACTCGTGGAAAGGATTATTTGAAGAGCTGAGATGATGCTCCAGCTCGGTCGTTAGTTCAGGTTGTTGTGACAGAGGTGGAAGAAGAGGCCACTGTGGCTATCTGTGTTCTCCCCTGGTCCTGGAATTCAACCTGCTCATCCACCCCAGCCATCCCCTGCTGCTCCAGAAAACTTTCTCATTGGCGCCACAGGGTCATTCGTCCGATGTTAATGCGGAAGCGCCAGGGCCGTGGCAGTGAGGGCTCCTATAGCCCTGGGTGCACTAAGGGTTCTGTTGGTTATCTCGGCAGCCTTAAGTATATTATTGGCCTTCACCTGTAGACATTAACCCCAAGTGTAAAAGAAGAGGTTGAATTCTGTGTAATCTCTGAGGTCTGTGGTCAGAGCCAATGGTCCCAATCATTCGGGTAGACAGCAGTCTCAAAATTAAATGGAGAGCAAACTTGATTTTAAAAAGATGGAGATCCCACCTTTGGACGTTCTGGTTCAGTAGGTTTGAGATAGAGTCTGCAAATTGGTATTTTTAGAAGACTTTCCAGGTGACTTTAATTTAGAATTTTTCCAGGTCTAAATGATATCCTATTAACCTGCATACATTAATTCACTGTATGAAATGGCACCAGGAAGAATCTGGTTCGTTACTGAAAAGGAATGGTGTCCACCCCCATTCAGCCTGCCTCCATGGGACACCAGGGAGGGGCTGGGGCTCACCTTTTTGTTTTTCCATCTTCCTTTGTTTTGCAATGGAGATAACCGGGCCATTGTACGTGCTAGTACAGGGGTGCTGCAAGGAGAATGGTTTGTGGTTAGTGGGAAAGATGACCAACCCCCACCCCACAAAAATCCTCAAAAGAAATGGGAAGGAAAATAATCTGATTGTACCCGGCCAGTTGGGTCTGCCTGGACTATTTCCACCTTCAGTCCTGACTCAGTTTTTCTTTTTCAGCCAGCACATTAGGGCCAGAAGATAACATTATGACTCCAGGTGTGGAAGACGGCATGGTGACTCCAGGTGGCAGTGAAGACTCTGAGTCTACTGGCTCGCCAGCTCTGGTGAGTGTCGCCAGGAAGGGAGGAATTTGCTCCATGGGCATGCAATCACGTGCAAGGATATGATAAATGTATATATAAATCAAATCCTTGGGAGCCGCCATGCGAAGGAATTGTTGTGTGGCTGACAAGAAAAGGTACTTCCCAGTGTCATCCTGCTAGCAGGTAGTTGGTGTGCTGATCACGGGGGATCTGAGAGTGTACACCAGGCTTCTCGGACTGGTAAGGAAGTGGGTTTATAGATGTTCAATCTGTTACAGCCCAATTTTCAATACAATAAAAGTCTTGGATGTTGCGGCACTGTCTTTGCTATAAAAGTTTCTAAATATGTCTTTGCAATTTCTTGTCTTTTTGTAGACCAGTAATAGCACCCACTAGAACCCATCCACAGACCACAATGGTGTAGGCTATGTGGAATCTCAACCAACACGTTCCTAACCTAATGAATTTTAATCAATTCATATGTGCCTTAAGCACCTGCCATAGGCCACACAAGATGCCGGGCTCTGGGAGGCATTGAGGGCGTATATCAGCCACCCCTGTGATCCTTGAGGTGCTTATAATTTAGTTAGTAACATGGAACAGAGGCTCCTGCCCACCCGTCTGACCTCGTGGCACCGCTGTCCGCCCTTTCTCTGTTTCAGCCATGTTGGCCCTTCTGGCCTTTGAACTTATTCCACCTTAGGTTTTTGTTTTCTCTTCTTAGAACACTCCCCACATCTTTCTGTGGCGGACTTTTTCTCCGAACTCTCAAGTTCAGACGTTATGTCAAAGAGGCACAGAGTAATCCTGCTGCCCCCTTCAGCCACTCTGCCCCCAAGAAGTTACCCTCTAGCCCTGAGGTCAGCAAACTACCCACCAGATTTGGCCCACCGCCTGTTTTGGTAAAAAAAAAAGTTTTATTGGAGCCCAGCAATGCCTGTTCAGTTGAGAATTACCTAAGGCTGCCTTCCTACTGTAAGAGCAGAATTGAGTAGTTGGTTGCAAAAGAGCCTGAATGGCCTGCAAAGCTGAAAATATTTCCCATTTGGCCCTCTACAGAAAAAGTTTGTCAGTCTCTGCTCTAGTCCACTACCTAGCTCATGTTTTCTTCAAAACACTTAAAATCATCTAAAATGACCTTTTGTATATGTTTCTTGTTATATCTTCATACCCTGCCACCCCATCCCAGAATGGAAGCTTCAAGAGGGCAGGGCATTTGTATTACTCACATTATATCTTCAGGGCTTGGAACCATGCTGAGCACATAGCAGGTACTCATTAGCATAATTTTTTATTGTGTTAAAAAAACACATAAAATTTTACCATCATAACCATTTTTAAGTGTCCAGCTCGGTAGTGTTGAGTATATTCACCTTGTTGTGACACACATCTCCAAAATGTCTTCATCTTGCAAATCTGAAACTCTAGATCCACTAAACCAGAACTCCCCTTTTTCTCCTTTCTCCAGTCCCCGGTATCCACCATTATACTTTTTATCTCTATCATTTTGACTACTCTAAGTACCTCATGTAAATGGAATCATACAGTATTTGTCTTTTGGTAACTGGCTCATTTCACTTAGCATAATGTCCTCAAGGGTCATCCATGTTGTAGCATGGGACAGGACTTCCTTCCTTTTTAAGGCTGAATAGTATTCCATTGTGTGTGTATACCACATTTTGTTTAGCCTTTCACCTGTCAATGGACATTTGGGTTGCTTCCAACTCTTGGTTATTGTGGATAGTGCTGCTGAGAACATGGGTATGAACATATCTCTTCAAGACCTTGCTTTCAATTCTTTTGGGTATATACCCAGAAATGAGATTGTTGGATCATATGGTAGTTCTATTTTTAGTTTTTTTGAGGAATCTCCATCCTGTGTCCCATAGCACTTGCACCATTTTCATAGCATAGCATAGCACAGCATAGCATAGCATAGCACAGCATAGCATAGCACAGCATAGCATAGCACAGCATAGCATAGCATAGCACAGCACAGCATAGCATAGCATAGCATAGCACAGCATAGCATAGCATAGCATAGCACAGCACAGCACAGCACAGCACAGCATAGCATAGCACAGCACAGCACAGCACAGCACAGCATAGCATAGCACAGCACAGCACAGCATAGCATAGCACAGCATAGCACAGCACAGCATAGCATAGCATAGCACAGCACAGCATAGCACAGCACAGCATAGCATAGCATAGCATAGCACAGCATAGCACAGCACAGCATAGCACAGCAACTGCATCCCACCAATGGTGCACAGCGGTTCCAGTTTCACCATGTCCTCGCCAACACATTGTTTCCTGTTCTTTTGATAGTAGCCAATCTAAGGGATGTGAGGTAATAATCTCATTGTGATATTTATTTTCATTTTTCTGATGATAAGTGATATTGAGAATCTTTTCACACGCTTGTTGGCCATTGTATATTATCTTTGGAGAAATGTCTATTCAAGTCGTTTGCCCATTTTTTAATCAGGTTATTTGACTTTTTGGTGTTGAGTTGTAGGAGTTCTTTATACCTTTATCACGTATAGGACCTGCAAATATTTCTCCCATTCCGTAGGTTGCCTTTTCACCCTGTTTATTGTGTCCCCTGATGCACAAAGCTTTTAAGTTCGATTTGGTCCCATTTGTCGATTTTTGTTGATGTTGCCTGTGCTCACTGGCATATTTGTTGAATATGACATTGGCATGAACTTTGGAGTCAACAGAACATCTTCCAACTCTTCTTCTGTCGCTTGTTGGCTAAGTGATCGTCTAATCTCTTGAAGCTTTGTTGATCCTATACAACTAATAATAGGATCTACTTCATCGGGTTTTCATGGAGTAAATGAGAAGATACATCCATGCACCGCATGGTGATGTTCAGTTAACGTCGGACCACATGTACAACAGTGGTCCCAGAAGATTAGTACCATAGAGCCTAGGTGTGTAGTAGGCTATACCATCTAGTTTTTTGTGTAAGTACGCTCTGTGGCGTTTGCACAACGAGATCACCTAACAACTCTTTTCTCAGAAAGTATCCCCTTCGTTAAGCAATGCATGGCTGTATTTAAAGGGCCTGGCACATAGAAAGCCCTCAATAAAAGCTAGCTATTACTCTAATTGCGGGAGGGAGGGCATTGAAGGATGAGAAACCGTAATATGTGCCAGAGAATTGTTACAGACAAAAGTGCCATTCAAGTTCAAGGGAGAGAAAGAATTAAAGCCTGGTGATCTGGTATTTTCTGAAGAATTAAGACCCTAGGAAGTCGTGCTAAACATTTGGCTTTCATTTCTGGAGTAGATTTGGTTCTATTCCTGTCCTCACTCTTGTTTCTTTTTGTTTGTTTATTATCTTGTTTCCACTTTAAATTTATGTCATTGTCTAGTTTATGTGTGTATACCACTTTAAATCCTTTTCTGTTATAAGGCAGAGTATATATTTTAAAGCATTATGTTTTATTTCTGTTTTGCCTCATTTACACCTCTAATAGGTGCCAAGAAGTACAAAGAGTACAGGTGGAGATTTCGAGGATCGGTCAACTCTAGGCAACACAGTCCATACCCCAGGAGAAAGCCAGAGCACCAGAACGCCAAGTGTGCTAACTGGTCACCCCACGGGTAAGAAAACCAATCATCCCAATAGGGATTGACCTTCTTTTGCATAATCAGTGCGTTCCCAAAACCATGAACAAATATAATAATCAATAGGGCACATTTTGGAATGCAAGAGTCAATTCTGAACCAAGCTTTATGTGGTAGGTTCAGAATTCGAATTGTTGGGTTGCTGAACACAACTCTCTACCTTGAATGACAGCTAGTGATATGCCCCAACAAGGGCAAGTTAAGTAGTTCCTGGTGTCATGTTGCTGACCCTAAGTTGACGTCATACTACGCTTAGAACTTTGTGTTGACATCCAAGAGCATAAACCTCAGCCAACCTACGTAAATCTTAATCGGGTCAATACTAATATTTACCATCTTGTATGGAGTTCGTGTCGGTACACATGGAGCAAGAATCTTTTCTAAACCAGTCTTCCCAGGATTGGGGATTGTACTTGTGATTCACAGTCGGCACCTGCAGCAGTGTGACGAGAACACCTGGGAGAGAAAGTTTGGAGGAGGACGTTGGGTCTTTGCCATTATTATGAGGTTTACACCATCGCTGATGAGAATGAGGAAAGATCATTGCCATTACAGCTTAGCCATAGAAAGTGGTAGTTTCCTATTTCTAGAGCTTTCTGAAGAGAAATACAGTTGTTTGGGATTTTTACAAAATGTGCCTTATTTTATAGTAGATAGGGATGTGAGAGCAAAGGAACTAATCCTCCAATAACTGCAATGAGTGCTTGCTAACTTGAGCAACTTTACATAAATCATTTAATCCACATAAGTATTTCCATCTTTAAACAAAAGTAAATACAAAGACTTTGCCTAAAGTAGTGGTTCCTCAAACCAGTTGCACATCTGAACACCTAGAAAGTTATTCTTTATTGTTTCGTGTACATTTCCAGACCCAATAGCCAATCTGGTTTTAAAAACTCTATGGCACTTCTGAAGATTTAAAGAGTGCTTTGTATTTGTACATCCACGTTCATAGCAGCATTATTCACAATAGCTAAAATGTGGAAATCATAGATGGATGGATAAACAAAATGTGGTATAGACATACAATGGAATATTCCTCAGCCTTTGAAAGGAAGAAAATTCCTACACATGCTACAATGTGGATAAACCGTAAGGACATTATGCTAAATGGAATAAGCCAGTCACCAAAAGACAAATACTGTATGAGTTCACTTAGATAGGTACCTAAAGTAGTGAAAATCATAGAGACAGGAAGGAGAGGAGTGGTTGCCCAGGGGCAGGGCATGGGAGTTATTGTTTGATGGGTTTACAGTGTCAGTTTGGGAAGATGGAAAGAGTTCTGGAGATGGATGGTGGTGATGGCTACACGACAATGTGAACGTGCCTAATGCCACTGAACTGTCCACTTAAAAATGGCGAAGATGGTGAACTTTGTGTTATATATATTTTACCACAATAGAAAAAAAAAGCCTCATAAAGTGCTTTGAAAATAAAGCCTAAAGGTCATTCCAAGATGCTAAAGAAATGGTTGACATTTAAACACGGAGAAAACCAAATAGGGCTAAGCAAGGAAGGAATCATCAATACAATTGGTCATTGGGAAGCATTTTAAAATTTTGGAGAAGAATTGATCATTTTTAACCTGAGTTGACAGCTAATTAGCAGCAGAAAATGGAGCCTTCCAGGCTGAATATTCTTTCTGTCATACAGGATACCTCTCCTATCCCTTAAAAAAAGTTCTCAGTTGCCTGGAAAATACTCATGGTTATTCTCTCGTCCCCTCCCACCCTGTCACAGAGAGTGTGACTTAGGGCACATTCCCACTTCAGACATCAGTGTCCTAAGAAATTTTCACATGTGAGTTAAAATTTAATTATAAGCACTCGGTTTTTTTTAAGAGGAAATTTTATTAGGGCAGCAGATGTGTTTCCCATGAAACGTCCAAGTTCGATGATGTTCACGTTTATGACACATTCTCCTGATTACAGACAGTGTCATCGGGAGGGAGCTGGGGAGTATACAACTCATAAGCTCTAATTTAATAGGGGATCTTCCGCAAACTTTATTTTTGGTAATGCGTTTTCTAACCAATGGTGCATCGGTGGTTATAATGGCGTGTTTGGAGGCCAGAATTGGCAGCCACCATGTTAAGACATGATAAGTAAATGATTGACCTGTCGCTGCTGGGAGTTGGCGGCCAAGGATGACACTTTGGGAGCTGATTCAATGACACTTTTGTTCCGGGCAGGCTTGCAACCCAGCAGGCTCCCCACTACGTCTTTATGGTGGGAAAGCACAGTCAGCTGGAGCTCCATTTAAATGCTCCAGAGCCATGGGTTCAGCTCCTGCAGGGACTCATATCCTGGGGCCATCTTGAAACAGGGAAGATAGCCTTGGTACAAAGAGGATGGCTTCTTTCAAACCCAGCCATTAGAAAAAGCCAGCATCTCGTAGACGATGGTTGGCTGGTTCCACCTTTGATCAGGAGAGCTGCTGGACATCTGTGGTAACTTGCAAGTTGTGAGCTAAGGTTCTAGGGGCGGGTGTGACTGAGTCACTTCTCTCCATTGTGTCATTTAATCAAGGAAGACATCTTGACTTTTTCTCCATCTGCAAACTAGATAAACAGCTACCATCCACAGAAGTTAAGGACTCCTTTAAGAGACTGATGGGAGAAACAAAAGAAAACAAAAACACTTTATTTTTAAATAGGAAATGTATAAAATTATCTGAAAAAAAACTCACAATTTTATTGCTTGCTTATGGGAAGGCACTCGTGAGTAACTTATACCCATGTGGTAGGTAAATGAGAATAGTCACACTGTAGCTATTGGACTAGGTTTGCCTGCAGATAGAAATCCTAAAGTATCAGAGGCAGAAACACAAAGGGTGTGTTCTCTCATTAAACTTAGCTGGGCATATTGCTGCCCTTTAAGATCTGGATTTTGCTACACAAGAGAAAGCAGAGAATTGATATCACAAGACGCATCACAGTCGTGGCCACATCTTCCAAATCTAGAGGATTGCTCTCAAAATGAAAATCCCTCAAAATAGTCCTCATCGCAGAGGGTGAGTTTTCCGTGATCTTGACATGGGACCAAGAATCAACAGCCTTGGATTCTTTTGTTACCCGACCTCTGAAACTTCCCGACCATTTAGTTGCGATCTCTGTGGGTCAGTTTCCTTGACTCTGCTCTCTAACGTGGATGAGAAAAAAGTAATGTACACCAAAGTACTGCGGACCCGTAGGTGTGAAGAAGTGTTCATAAATTCAATAATAACAGTTGTGAAGGCCAGATCATGCCAGAGCTTGCTTAAAAATTCCCTGATCCAATTTATTTCAGAAATTATCCTCTGTTTGTGTTTTCTCCCTTCCACGTAGGGTAAATTCATCTTTTGCCAATTGTTAAATTATAGTTATTAAATCCTAATAATTCTATATCATTACATCTCTCTCTTTACAGAGAAAACGGATGGAAACACAAAGGCAACAGTTGAGAAAGGTAGGCTAGATTTTGGTATCAAAATATTCTTATGGGAGCTAAAAAAAAATATTTCTTTGAACCTAATCTTTGTGATGAATTACATTTTTTCCTGGATTGTAGTCAACAAGCGCAGAAGGCAGAACTTCCGGAGATCAGGTTTCAAACCTCTTTTAAGAGAGAAAAGGGAATTGCCTGTATTTGAAAATAAACCAACCACAAATGAGTCTATTCACTTAATGACAGCCATGGAGAATGGTATCATATCACAATTTATTGTGACTAAGAATGAAAATAGGGGCTAATTTAATAGTCATACACAAATACTACCCAGTAATTACCAGTGAAGCCACCCAGTATGAATGGTATGCTTGATAGATCCTGAAACCCAGAAATATTCCATTCATAAGATGAGATCAGAATAGCGCAAAGTTTCTCCTCTTCTAAGTCAACTTCCTCTGGACAGAGGGGAAATGACGTATTATTTTCTGTGTGCTGTGGGGCGGTGGCATTGTTTATCACAAGTGTATTGTTTATCTGGGGCTCATGCTTTTTCTCCCTCTCATTCAGATGGTTTGTCGACAGTGACTCTGGTTGGAATCGTAGTTGGGGTCTTAGTAGCCATTGGATTCGTTGGTGGGATCATCATGGTGGTCGTGCGAAAAATGTCGGGAAGGTTCTCGTAAGTAAATAACTTACTCCCATCTGATAGGTAAATGAGGGCGGTCATTTCTAGGACTCCTTTGAACTAATAGAAACTTCTAAATAAAGGTCATGTTCAGAAGTCCCACGCCTTCCCAGTACTCCATCTGAGGTTTCCCCAGGGGAGCTGGTGTCTACTTGGGCCTTAGAAGGTTCCAAGAAAAGAGTCAGAGCCAAAGATGGCTCTTGAGTTGACTTCTGTTGAGATCTGATCAAATCTGACCTCTTGTCTTAATTTTTCAACCAACTGAACTTGAAGGGAAGCCCAAACCAAGTTTCAACTTGATATACCTAATCACCGGCTCGCCATCATCAGAGGGAGGTGGTTTCTGGAAGAGCACAAGTCCCAGAGCCAGGGCTCCATTCCACTGAGGGATTTTACTGGTGATGGGGTCCCTCCCTCCGCTCCTGCCCTGCAGGCAGCCCCACACCCTGGTGTACGCCTAGCATTGACTACAGATAAGGGGAAGGAATTCTTTCTCTATTAAAATTCCTTAAGAGTTCAGAACATTCAAATTCATAGCCAGAGGAAAACTTTTTCTTATTTCTGTTGGGGAGATGACATATGACTGGGGGGACAGGGAGAGGAGAAATGCTGTAAGATGGAGGGGTTGAGGGACACGATTGACAATTAAGTTGCAGACTTATGTGTTTGGAAATGCCTGGGAATCTGGCCCTGGCTGCATGAGGACCAGGCATGGAGGAGAAATGAGCAGGGAGAGAAGAGTGCCAGGTTCCAGGATTGGAAGACATACACAAAGGACAATAGGAACAATGACTCACGGGTTACCATTCACAGTGCCAGTAAAAGAAGTGATAGTCACCTTTCTCTTTGTTTTCACAGGCCCTAAAGAGCCAAAGAACTGTGCCCTTCTGCCAACATGTTTAAAAAGAGTTTCCGATTCCCCCGTCCCTGGGCATGTGGGAGAAGATGACCCATGGAAATGCTTGGCCACCCCACTCAAAATCCATGGTGATCCCTCCGCTTGCCAAAAGTAACCGAAAGACAGAGAATTCGCAAGACTTTCTCCTCTAAGCACTTGTCTTTTGAAAATTTTTTTAAATATAGCTTTTGTAAAAGATGATTTAAAAAACAAAATGTATATAAAATAGAGCAAAACTGTGTAAACTGATTTGTAATTAAGATGGACAATATAATTCAATCAATGTTAGCAACTGTTATCATGACTTCGTACTGACCATTCTCTGTTATTGTTAAAATGCAAAAGAATCTGAAAATATTTATACCAATGGAGTCTTTGGGTCTACTGCTGTGTCAGTAAATGGCATGAGCATTTTGCAATTTCTGATCTGTTAAAATGGCCACGTTGCGGTCTAGCTGGGTCTATTTTGAAAGCCCGATTGAGTGTGAATAATCAAGTAGAAAATTTAAACTTGATAATATGTTATGAGCAACTGTCTTTCATTGGTCCAGATAAGTCATTTCAAAGGCATCCATTTTAGATCATAAACAGGAATCCATACTTTGGAGAAGGTGTTTTGTTTCTCACAACAAGGCCACTGGGCAGCCCCTAGTCTTGCTTTTCCGCCTTCTCCAGCAATGACTCGACAACTCAAAGGTTCGCTCCCACCTGCCCCCTCTGCTCCTTCAGATGTGGGGGAACCAGAGCTAAGGGGGCAGCCTTTTCTCTTTCCTATGACGCAAGTCCTTCCGATTGGCTGCTTTGTTCTGAAATATGGAGATCTCAGCCCTGGATGCTGAGGAGGCTGCTGGAGGCCCAGTGGTGCCAGAGACCCAGAGTCCCAGAACCATGAAGCATGATGTTCCCCGAACAGAAAGAAGCCCTGTGTGTGCCTCTGGCCTGGGGAATGGAAGCTGCCAGGTTTCTAACTTTCATTTGCTACCTCAGAGGAAAGACATGGGGAAGCAAAAATAATGTTGTAAAATATTAAGTTTTAAAAAGCAGCTGGATTTGAAGACTTGATTTAAAAGTGAAAGATATCCCCAGTCTTCATGAGACACCACAGATTTCTGTGGGGTCATAATTGAAAAGCTCAGAATAAAGGGGCCCAAGCCGCCATTCTGTCTTGGCCCCATCCAGCTCAGTACATTTCTTCCCATAGTCAGTTGAAGTCTTTTTCCTAAACAAAAAGTTTTTATACTGAGCAGATGCTCTGTCATGATTGTGGTTGTGCAATTCTGACATCCTCTAAACATGTACGAGTTCATAAATCAGGAAAAAGTAAATGATCAGTTGGAAAACACAGCCCATTCCTCCCATTTTTTGCAGTAATATGTGGATGTTATTTGAAACAGTGTGCCCTTCTGCTGCCCAAATGCAGCTGGTCCGCCAGCCCAGGGTCCATATTCGAACATCGACTGATTGAGAGAAGGGCTTTAGAAGAACTTTAGGAGCTTAAATATCCTTCCGTTTCATCGCTCAGATTCCTGAACAGGAGTTGGGAATGCTGTCCATTTCATCTTTTTATCCTTTCCTTTTTTCTCTCACTGTGAAAAATAGCAGTCGACCCCAAGTCGTACACTGGACCCATGACCTGCTGGGACAGGACTGTGGGTTTCTTGGTCACATCTGTGTTGGTGCTCAATGCAGTGTGGACATGTTTTAAAATAAAACAGATGATTGCGCGTAACAATGAGTCAGACCTTTGATTGGAAATCTCGATCAAGTCTGGGTCACACTTGAGAACATCTCTGGATAAGATCATAAATGATGTAAACATCTGCCTCTTGACTTGATTGGGAGCGCATTATAAAAGGTCACAGGATGTACGTCCGTGGGAAGGACATGTAACTACACCTTTCACCTAGGGCTCTGCCAGAGCAGAGAGGTTAAGATCGAGCCAGGAATGGGATGAAAAGTCAAGGAGCGCCTGGGACTTCTGCCCTCTGGTCACAAAGCGTTGACAAGGTTTGGCCTGGCTCCTGATTTCTCTGCACTGAAGGGAGGAGCCAGGTGAGAGAGCAGTTACCCCTTGCTCCTGCCTCTTCCCTGGGAACCTGCCCTCAGGGCTGTAGGGCTTGGCGACCGAAGAACGGGAGGTAATAATCCCCGTGAGTTGTTCCAATGGCCCGCGGGCCTGGACAGCATGCCGCTCCGGAATTCCCGTTCCTGGGGCAAGTCACTGCTCTCTCGCCCTCAGCTGCAAATGCCCTGCCTGGTCTGGAGACTGTCGTGGCCAGGTGGCTCTGCTTCTGTCCCTCTGTCCCTCTCTGTTGGTTGATCTGCTCTGCATCCCCACCTACAACACTCTGTATGGATTCCAGAGCCACACGCTGGGTCCTCTCCCTGCCAGCCGTGTCTCCACTCACCCAGGTTGAATGCCAGGAGCAGGAGAGCTGTTAGCGTTGTGCTTTCCTATAATACTCAGTTTTTGTTAAATCTGGATTGTGGAATTTGCCAGATGTCAGGGATCCTGGGTGCCCCTGTCGTAACAGGTGACACATAGTGGAAAAGCCCAGGATTCGAATCCTGTTCTGCTACTTTTTCAGCTATAATCTCTCGGATGAGTCATTTAACTTCTTTGGGCTCCAGTTTCTTCTAAGAACTTCCATGAGGTAGTTCGGAGAGCACACCTTTTCTAGCAGAAATCTAAGCCCATCCACGTAGTCCCACAGACTCTGAAAGAGAACGGGCCCTCAGCTCCGTCAAGTGTAAATTTCTGTTCCGTCACACGGTACCCACAGGAGATGACTGGAGACCAGGGCTGCCAAGGGTACCAGAAGCTTAAGGAAACGACTCCATCCGCTCTGCCATCCCTCAGAAACATCTGGGGTGCAGGCGACGCTGCAGTTAACTGTTGGCACCATATTAAAGCCCTGTTTGAACCCCTATGATGGTTTTTTTTTCCTTTCAACCTGGGAGAACCAATTGAAAACCAGGACTTAGTTCTGCTTCATGTGCCACCTTTAATGAACAAGGAAAGAACAAGTCACTTAATCCCTTGCTGTCTCCATCTTTATTTTAATTCCTACTTATTTGGTATTCAGGGCATGGGGTTGCTTGTGACAAATACTTCCATGGGGAGTAACGCATATTGACATTAAAACTTTTTTTTGCTAATTAAAAGTCCAGGGAAAGTGGGAGACTTCCCTGAAATACAGCTGAGTGTTAACACACACGCTTGGAATCCACTGTGAGCATCGCAGGACTGAGCGGTCCCTGAAAGACCGTGCTTTTGTTTGCTCTTCCTGAAGCTTAAAATCAGGTTAGAACGTATGGTAGAGCCTAGCTTTTTAAATGCAGTAAATATAAATTATGTAACCACGGTAAACGGGCAACACTGCAGAATAAATTTAAAATCTGGGAGTAGAGGAATGAAGACTGTCCCCCTGGGCTGAAGGTGGCCCGTGGGCCGTGTGGACGTGTGTCCGCCTGATGCAGGCGAAGTGCCAGCCTGGGTTCTCGGACATTATTCCTCAGCACTTTCGCTCTCTGGGGATCGTTTATCAGACTCTGATGGAGAGCCCCGTGTGTTCTGCTTCTGCGTCCAAGGCTCCCGGCCATAAGCCAGACAGTCCCGTCCATGATCCTGAGACCTTGTTCCTCCATTTTTTCTTTCCTCTCCCTTCTCTCACCTTCTCTAACACCTTCTCACTGATGCAGATCGTTCAGAAAACGATCATGTAGGGGATGCTTCTGAGTGATGGCTACCCCGTGGATGCTACTGAAAAGGTGTCCGAAATATGTACCCGAACAGCCAAAACCACTCGGAACGCCCATGTGTCACCTCACGCAGATGTCCATGTTCCAACTGAAGGAAGCATCCACCTGTGAATGAGGACGGGGCTGTGGGGGCACAGGGCCATCTGGAAAGGGAACGTGTGGTGCGATGTTTGTCCTGCAAGACCTGGGGACAAAAGACACTGATGGGGCAACAAGGCATTTTGGGTGGCTGGAGACAGACTCTCTCGGGAGACAGGAATAACCTGTGTGTTCATTCATTCATTCAACAAACATTTATTGTCAGATCCTGTTCTAGGTCCCGGGGGTACACAGTGAATGAAACCAACCAAAATCCCTGCCCACATTCCAGCATGGGAGACAGACCGTCCCCAAAAGAAAGAAGTAAATCGTAGACTGTGTGGAAATTTAGAGGGGAGTAGGGGTGATGGAGAAAGACACAGAAGAGGAATCGGGGGGTGCAGGGCCTGCAGCATTGAATCGAGTGGGCAGGGAAGGCCCCGCTGAGGTTGAGCAAAGTTCTTGAAGAGGCCTTGATGGAGTGAGCTGAGTGGGCGTCTGGGGGAAGCGTTCCAGCAGCCGGAGCATCAAAGGCTGAGGCGGGAGCTCATGTGGCGTGGTCCCCGGGAGCACAGGGGAGCTCAGGAGGCTGGAGCAGAGCGAGCTCAGGGCAGAGGGAAGAGACGAGGCCAGAGGGGTGGGGGGCCCTTGTGGATGGAGACCGCTGGATGGTTTTGAGCAGAAGAGTGACATTTCAGAAAAAAATCTGACTTCCATTTAAAAAAAATCACTTTGGCTTCTGGTGGGAACTGGTCAGTTAAAAAGCCAGTGTGATGGGCTGGCCCAGTGGCTCAGCACTTGAGTTTACATGTTCCACTTCGGTGGCCCGGGGTTCGCAGGTTCGGATCCCAGGTGCAGACATGGCACTGCTTGTCAAGCCATGCTGTGGTAGGCGTCCCACATATAAAGTAGAGGAAGACGGGCATGGATGTTAGCTCAGGGCCATTCTTCCTCAGCAAAAAGAGAAGGATTGGCAGCAGATATTAGCTCAGGGCTAATCTTCCTCAAAAGAAAAAAAGCCAGTGTGGTAATCCAAGCAAGAGATGCTGGTGGACCAGACCAGGATGATGGCAGTGGAGCTGGCACGAGGTGGTCTGGTTCTGGTTAGATTTTGAATAAAGTCAACAGAATTGTCTGATGGGTTGGACATGGGATATGAGAAAAACAGAGAAGTCAAGATGACTCCAAGGATTTTGACTTGAGCGTCTGGGAAATTGAGCTGCCGTCAGCTCCCCAGGCCAGTCTGTGGATGCTGCAGGTTTGGGAAGGAAGAGTGGGAATTCTGTGTTGAACACGTAGAATTTAAGAGGTCTGTTGGAAATCCAGGTGGAGACGTCAAACCGTCAACTGGGTATATGAGTCTGGAGCTTAAGTGAGAGACCTGGCTGGAGACATAATCTGAGGTCTCTCAAGCTCTCCAAGTGGCTTAATGCTGGGATGGGGGTGTCCTTGATAATGGACACAAATGTTCCCCTCACTAGAAAAGAATTTCATTCATTGATAATTACCTACCTGGCATGTGGGGTTATAAATCAGTTTCTTAGGAGTTTGATTGGCGTGAGTTAGGCCCTAGAGCCATTCAACTCTTATGCAATAATGATTTCAGAAGTATAAATCTGAGGGCCAGATCTTGAGAGAATGATAACCACATCAAGTAACCACTGCTGTGTTGGGCGTCCGACTCTCCTCCCTACACAGCACTTTTGTCGTAAGTCCCAAATGGGGACTGTGATGGCCTGCGTGACCTCCCACAGTCTAGCCTCCACCCACTCCGTTGACTTGCTCTGACCAAGCTTCCAGATGACCTCCCACTTGCCAGTGCCGGTGGCCTCTTTTGGTCTTGTCCTCAGTGATCATCAGCAGCAGTCCGCCTCGTTGACCCCCTCTGGGAGCCATCTTCTCTCCCGTGGCTTGCATGCCAGGCCACCACACTGGTCGCCCTCCTGGCTCTGCTTGCTGCTCCACTGCCCCTTTTCTTGTCTCCGCTTCACCCTCTCTCCTGGGAGGCACGCCTAAGGCTCACTTTTCACTTCTCTATAGTCTCTCCTCGGGGAGCTCATCTACTCTCACAGCTCAACAAGCAGGAGCTGCAGGAGGGCAGGAGTCCGTTGGGTTCATCGTTACATCTTTAGCCGCTGGAGCAGTGCCCGGCACAGAGGAGTGAGCAATTCTCTCACCCTTTACGTATACACCACACCCTTCTGGTTCAGACCCTCAAGCAAAACCTCATCATTATTGCAGAGTTAAACACCCACTTGCCGTCTCTCCTCACTCCAAACTGATCCATATTCTACCAATGGGATCTTCCTAAAATACCTTTCTGTGCAAGTTACCACCACATTCAAAAAATGCCCCAACAGCTTCCTACAAAATAACTTGATGTTCAGGGCTTCTGGACTTTATCGTGGGACCCACGTCACATTCGTACAGCCGGTGTATGAGAGTGGAAAGAGCACGGCTCCAGACCCAGATTGCTGTGGCTTTGGTTCCAGCCTCTCCCTCCTCCAACGTGGAGGAAATGATTTAACATTTTTGTGTCATTAGGCTTTTTTGGTTGCAAGAAACAGAGACTTATGCAGGTGGCCTCGCGCAATGCTATGTATTCCATGGATGTGTGTGAAAACAAGGGAGACAAACCCCTGGGAGCCCCCGAGAGGCAGCATGCCTCAGCCACAAGGAATTGAGAGTTCTCCAAGCAATACTGGGCTCTGGATTATCTTGACCCCTCTGTCTGTGTGCTGGACAGTTTTCATTTGTCCCTCTGGGCCTCTTCTCCGCTCTCCCCACCTGGCTCTGTGACCTGGGAGGCAGACACGAGTGGACTACATCAACCGAGTTCTCTTGCTCTCTGGTCCTGGGTGGGCTTGGCCAATGGGAGGCACTGAGAGG